ACCAGTTTACTTAGGACCCGAGAAAAGCAGATACTACCCAACGGTTGTCTGTGAGATCCCGTTTGCCCAAAGTAGCTCAAGATTCCAAGATTGGTGTGCGTAGCTTCGTAGATCTGCAGCTCGATTTGTTTACCATGGAGAGTTGCCAGGACGTGGGTTTGAGGCTGAGTCTACTCAATCGCTTTGGGCGGTTGGGCTGAGGGTGGTTTCGTTGTTGCGGCCTCCGAAACGCACAAGGATGCAGGTTACAGTTTGCACTGCTTTTTGTACAAGGTTTGGCGTGGATGGTGGCTTTTCTTTGGTCCGAACTATGTAGCTCGGAGACCGTCTCTCTCTCTCTGTCTCCCTCTCTTTCCCTTTTTTTTTGTATCTCTCTCTCTCTCTCTTTCTTTGGCTTGGGTTTACTGTATACTAGTTCCAGCTAGTTCTGCACTTCCAAATTCCGGAATCAACCAGGTTCCTATGAACTTGCTAACCTGCTTTCAGCCGTGACAACCAAGCCAACAATGACAATGCCAGAGGTTCTGTTGATCGAATCTTGAATCTACTTAGTCGTGAACAGGTGCAAAAATTTGCGTGAGCCCCATCTGATTACCATCCAAGTCTGCTCCCTTGCAGGCAGAGCCTGAAGTGGTCGAGGAGGCCACGGCGCGCATCATGAAAACTCAGCGTGAAATATGGGGCATGATGATCCGCACATGCTCTCCTTCCAAAGCATGTTGACTTCCCTAAGCAGGATGGTGGTGTTTGAAAGGGTACCAGCGTTGTTCGAGCAACCCGCTCTACCTGGACACAGGCCTTTTGTTTAGTTCGTGCCTCCAGTCTATTTAAAGCAGGAAAGCAGTTGCAGATCTGTTGTTTTTGTTGCTTGCTGTGGGCTCCTGTTGTGCTACGTCACTGGGCTTTATTGCTGTTCGTAAGACGCACTTGCATTGGGTCTAAGTGCCGCAGATAGCATTGACAAATCCCCAGATGCCATCACATGCAAAGAAGCAATGACACCCAGACGTACAAACACAAACAACTCAACACAAATGCAGCAAGGATATGTGTGAATGTTTATGCACGCAACCACGCGGGCAGGTGACATTTGTGCCAGAGCCCGCGGCGACCGCTGAGGCCCTTGCCAGTTGGAAGGCTTTGGCAAATGAGATGGCTGCGTGCCTCTAACGGTGAATACAGGGTCGGCCTGAGGTGATGGAAATGACCCAGCTCTTTGCTATGGTATTCCTGTTGCCCAGCACAGCTGAAGATCCCATCATTCGCAAGGCCACTGCCGAAGAACCCTTCGCCACTGCTGAGGCACAGTTGTCGTTTGTCCACACCGGTTGGGTAGCAGATTGAATCACTACTTATACTACATAAGACCCGCGAAAAAGCAGATGCAGCCCAACGGTTGTCTGTGAGATGCCGTTTGCCCAGAATGTATAACTCAAGATTCCAAGAGTCGTGTCCGTGGTTGTCTAGTTTTGCAGCTCGAAGTGTTCACCAGGTAGAGTTGCAAGGACGTGGGTTTGAGGCTGAGTCCACTTAGTTGCTTTGGGCTGTTGGGCTGAGGGTTCGTGGCCTCGAAAACGCGAAAGCCTGAAGGTTCTCACTTTCTCTCGCACTCTCTATCTCTCTCTCTCTCTCTGTCTCTCTTTCTTTCTCTCTCTCTCTCCCTCTCTCACTGTCTCTCGGACGCCGTAGCTCCAGCTCGCAAGGCCTTCTCTTCGAATCTTTCTGCGTGCATGGACTCGGGCTTGCGATTTCTCCACAACCAGAGGCGGTCAGATTCCTTATGAGCTTCTAAACCCGTTGAAATCCATGAACACCAAACAAAGAGTGCCAGGCTGTGCCAGAAGTCGTGTCGATCTAGACTGATCTTAGCCTGCTCAGCCCTGCAGCAAGCGCACTAATACCTGAGCCGTTTTTGCTTCCTCTACTAATTAAGTCTGTTCCACGCAGGCAAAGCCTGAAGAAGTCGAGGAGGCCAAGGCGTGCATCATGCAAAGCCAGCTTGCAATTCGGAGCCAGCCTTCATGTCTCACACCCAGAGACTCCAATATCCTTTAAGTAAGGAATATACCTTCAATCATATTAAGGATCCTCCTATAATTTAAGGAATATTCCTTAATTAAGGGATATTGGAGTCTCTGGGCACCATGCCAGGCACAGCATGAGGCGATGTCGGCCAAGCTGCAGCAGGCCTGGGATCTAGGTCACTTCATCTGTATTGGCGCTGTGGACTTAGGAGGAGCATGCGCAAAACGACTTTGTCGCAGTGTTTGACCCTGTGAGAGGAAAGGGGTAAGATGAATAAACACGTCTTCATATTGGCCTTTTCGACTTTGAGTCTACGTATCAGAAGCCCAGAATCTGTATGCCCCGTTCGAGGATAGCAGACATGCAAAGTTTGATGTCACATGCTTTGGAGGTGAAGTTAGGTGTAAAACGAGCGAAACAAGGAGAGAACCGACGAAACTGCACTGTTCAGGTTCAGTTCCTGAAGCCAAAACCACAGCTTTCGTAGCCACTCGGCCTTTCTCTGGATTGTCTCCGAAGATGCTCACGGTCCCGCCGCACATGCATGCAGGGGCTCGACTACAAGTGCCCTACTCCTTCGACATAGATCAATAGATCCAAGGAACGAAAACAACAGAATCAGCATGACTTTCACAAATATTCCGGCGAGGCGCACGAGCGAGCCGCATCTGCCGAGGCCACTTTGGCAACGGGCCGGATCGAATGACTGCGTTGTCGGACTGCAAACGTTGCATGTGACACAGATGGGGCCTGGAGATATAGCTCGTAATCCGGTCCGCTGTATGCTCTAAACCGGAAGTTTGGCGAGACTGCTTCTGCTGGTTGTCGTGCCCCGCGGGTTCAGGCATCATGGAATATGCACCAAGCTGCCTTCTGTTGCATATTGACTTCGCAGTGCCTTGTGACATCTTCTTGCGCAAGAGTGGCCTCAGCAGCGGCACGGAGAGTCTTAATGTCAGCGCTTTTCGGACGCCAATGTTTGGAAGTCTCGCATCTTGCCAGGCACAGCTTCAGGAAATGTCCGGCAAGCTCTCGCAGGCCCGAGATCTTTGTGATGTCATGGTCATTTGGGAGCAAGTGCGAAACGAGTGTTTGACCCTCTTAGAGTAGCATTCCGGGGCAGCAAGTGGCAAGATGAATGTAAGTTTTTTCATGTTGGCCTGTTGGGCTTTGAATCTACGTTCCCTGAATACTGACCCAGTAAACATCAAATCTTGTGTCCAGGGTTTTGAAGCCCTGAAAGGCCTGAAAGGATAGCAAACACGCAGAGCCTGAAGTCAGATAATTTGGAGGTGTTAGTCATGTGTAACATGCGCGAAACAAAGATGGAATCGACGACACGGGCACTGCAGCTGCACCGTTCAGGTTTTGTTCGTGGAATCACAACCACAGCTTTCGTAGGCACGAAGCCTTAGGTCCCGCTGCACATGCGTGCAGGAGCCCAACTAGAAGTGCCCTAATTACTCCTTCGACATACAGCCTTTGTTCGAATTGAACATCAACAGAATCAGCATGACTTTCACAAGTTCCGGCGAGGCCGACGAGCGAGCCGCATCTGCCGAGGCCAGTTTGGCAACGGGCCGGGTCGAATGGCTGTGTGGTCGGACTGCAAACGTTGCATGCGACACAGATGGGGCCTGGAGATATAGCTCGTAATCCGGTCCGCTGTATGCTCTAAACCGGAAGTTTGGCGAGACTGCTTCTGCTGGTTGTCGTGGCCCGCGGGTTCAGGCAGCATGGAATATGCACCAAGCTGCCTTCGCTTGCATATCGACTTCGCAGTGCCTTGTGACATCTTCTTGTGCAAGAGTGGCCTCAGCAGCGGCACGGAGAGTCTTAATGTCAGCGCTTTTCGGACTCCAATGTTTGGAAGTCTCGCATCTTGCCAGGCACAGCTTCAGGAAATGTACGGCAAGCTCTCGCAGGCCCGAGATCTTTGTGATGTCGTGGGCATTTGGGCCGTGGATGGCGGAGGAGCAAGAGCAAAACGACAAAATGAATGTAAACTCCTTCAAGTTGGCCTTTCCGCTTCGGGCTACCTTCCATCAACACACCTTTTAGCACCAAGTGAATCCGATTGTTGTGTCTAGAGTTTTGAAGCCCAGAACCTGTATGGTCTCTTGGAGGATAGCAAACCTGCAAAGCCTGAAGTCAGATAGTGTGGAGATGAAGTCGTGTAGTTAAATTCTAAGGACTTCAGGAGGGACCCCTAATAGGGACCCTTCATCCCATTACCTTAAATAACCGTTGCATAGTCCTTATATACCCCTCATATAGCCAGGTAGTCTCCATATTAACCCCAATAACCTACGAGGGTCCCAATTAAGGGTCCCTCCTAATGGACCTAGATAAACTGAGCGAAGCAAAGATAGAATCAACGACTCGGTCACTGCAGTTGGACTGTTCAGGTTCAGTTCCTGAAACCCACAACCACGGCTTTCGTATTCGCTAGCACTTTCTCGATATTGTCTCGGAAGTTGCTCGTGGTCCCGGTGCACATGCGTGCAGGAATCCGACTAGAAGTGGCCTATTCCTTTGACATAAACCCTTTGATCGAAGGAACACCAACAACAGAATCAGAGTGACTGTAGTAAATAGCCCGCCGAGGCGGACGAGCGAGCCGCATCCGCCGAGGCCACTTTGGCAACTTGCCGGGTCGAATCACTGCGTCGTCGGACTGCAAACGTTGCATGTGACACAGATGGGGCCTGGAGATATAGCTCGTAATCCGGTCCGCTGTATGCTCTAAACCGGAAGTTTGGCGAGACTGCTTCTGCTGGTTGTCGTGGCCCGCGGGTTCAGGCAGCATGGAATATGCACCAAGCTGCCTTCGCTTGCATATCGACTTCGCAGTGCCTTGTGACATCTTCTTGTGCAAGAGTGGCCTCAGCAGCGGCACGGAGAGTCTTAATGTCAGCGCTTTTCGGACTCCAATGTTTGGAAGTCTCGCATCTTGCCAGGCACAGCTTCAGGAAATGTACGGCAAGCTCTCGCAGGCCCGAGATCTTTGTGATGTCGTGGGCATTTGGGCTGTGGATGGCGGAGGAGCAAGAGCAAAACGACAAAATGAATGTAAACTCCTTCAAGTTGGCCTTTCCGCTTCGGGCTACCTTCCATCAACACACCTGTTAGCACCAAGTGAATCCGATTGTTGTGTCTAGAATTTTGAAGCCCAGAACCTGTATGGTATTGGAGGATAGCAAACATGCAAAGCCTGAAGTCAGATAGTGTGGAGATGAAGTCGTGTAGTTAAACTAAGCGAAGCAAAGATAGAATCAACGACTCGGTCACTGCAGTTGCACTGTTCAGGTTCAGTTCCTGAAGCCCACAACCACGGCTTTCGTATTCGCTAGCACTTTCTCGATATTGTCTCGGAAGTTGCTCGTGGTCCCGCTGCACATGCGTGCAGGAATCCAACTAGAAGTGGCCTACTCCTTCGACATAAACCCTTTGATCGAAGGAACACCAACAGAATCAGCATGACTTTCACAAATATTCCGGCCAGGCGGACGAGCGAGCCGCCTCTGCCGAGGCCACTTTGGCAACGGGCCGGATCGCATGACTGCGTCGTTGGACTGCAAATGTTGCATGTGAGACAGATGGGACCTGGAGATATAGCTCGTAATCCCATATCGACTTCGCAGTCTTGTTGCGCAAGATTGGTGTTAGCAGCGGCACGGAGAGTCAGCCCTTCGCCCTTGTTCCAGTGTTTGGAAGCCTCGCAACATGCCAGGCCAAGCTGCAAGAGCTGTCCGGCAAGCTCTCGCAGGCCCGAGATCTTTGTGATGTCGTGGGCATTTGGGCATTTGGGCTGTGGATGGCGGAGGAGCAAGAGCAAAACGACAAAATGAATGTAAGTACCAAGTGATATAGCAAACGTGCAAAGCCTGAAGTCAGTTAGTGCGGAGATGAAGTCGTGTAGTTAAATTCTAAGGACTTTAGGAGGGACCCCTAATAGGGACCCTTAATCCCATTACCTTAAGTAACCGTTGTATAGTCCTTATATACCCCTGATATAGCCAGGTAGTCTCCATATTAACCCCAATAACCTACAAGGGTCCCTATTAAGGGTCCTTCCTAATGGACCCAGATAAACTGAGCGAAGCAAAGATAGAATCAACGACTCGGTCACTGCAGTTGCACTGTTCAGGTTCAGTTCCTGAAGCCCACAACCACGGCTTTCGTATTCGCTAGGGCTTTCTCTATATTGTCTCGGAAGTTGCTCGTGGTCCCGCTGCACATGCGTGCAGGAATCCAACTAGAAGTGGCCTACTCCTTCGACATAAACCCTTTGATCGAAGGAAGACCAACAGAATCAGCATGACTTTCACAAATATTCCGGCCAGGCGGACGAGCGAGCCGCCTCTGCCGAGGCCACTTTGGCAACGGGCCGGATCGCATGACTGCGTCGTTGGACTGCAAATGTTGCATGTGAGACAGATGGGACCTGGAGATATAGCTCGTAATCCCATATCGACTTCGCAGTCTTGTTGCGCAAGATTGGTGTTAGCAGCGGCACGGAGAGTCAGCCCTTAGCCCTTGACCGGTTCCAGTGTTTGGAAGCCTCGCTACATGCCAGGCCAAGCTGCAAGAGCTGTCCGCCAAGCACTCGCAGGCCCGAGATCTAGGTGATGTCGTGGGCATTTGGGCTGTGGATTGTGGATGGCGGAGGAGCAAGAGCAAAACGACAAAATGGATGTAAACTCCTTCCTGTTGGCTTTTCCGCTTCGGGCTAGCTTCCATCAACACACCTGTTAGTACCAAGTGAATCCGATTGTTGTGTCCAGAGTTTTGAACCCCAGCACCTGTATACTACCCTAAAGCCTATACCCCTAAACCCTAAACCCTAAACCCTAAGCCCATAAACCCTACTAGCCCGAAACCTAAGCTGTAAGGCAGAGCCCTCACAGAGCGACGTTCTGGCAAGGGTAGCCATCTTAACCCAGCCACGCAGATCGAGGTATTTTCTTCAACCTCTCTCCGAAACAAAGTTCCCAAAGGGTCCCAAGTAGTAGTATTTTGGGGCCCAAAAACCGACAAAGTACCTACTATAATGGTACTTAGACCCTGTGGGGTTGTGGATATTACCGGCCTACCGAGCTTCTGATTGCCTATCAAGTACCTCACAGCAAGAAATCCGTCCACACTCTCGCTGGCAGAGCTGCGAAGAGTCTCACCCGACAGAAATGGGTGTTGGGGGCCCATCGAAGCCCCTAAACCCTAAACCCTAAACCCTAGACCCTAAACCCTAGACCCTAAACCCCTAAACCCTAAACCCTAGACCCTAAACCCTAAACCGTGGCAATGACAGCAAGGCAAGTACTGCAACCTTGACTTCCGGAGCAACTCAGATGAGGGAGGGTTTAGGGTTTAGGGTTTAGGCTTCCCTTCCCAGTTCAGCAAGAAATGCGCAGACGTCACCTGGATGAGCTCTTGAGCCAGAACATGTCCGTTCCGAGATGTTGTTTGTAGAACGCAGCAAATCTAGCTTCCCGAGTTTGCATGCGCGCACGCGGGTGTGTGTGTGTGTGTGTGTGTGCGTGTGTGTGTGTGTGTGTGAGAACGGCTCGCTGAAGGCATGAACCAGGTGACCACGGACCAGTTCCTGTTTGTACGGTTGAGGGCTATTTTAAGACCTCCAGTGTTCCTCCCTGACTCACTCGCTGATCCTTGTCATGTTGGAACCCCTGAGCAATCATTAGTTTGCCAGTTTCACTCTGACAACTGGATCCATGTAATGGACCCTCTATGTATGTTTGAACTTTTAAACATATGTGCTAGAAAAGATATTAGCCACATATAGTTCAAGAGATTAATAAACAAACAAGAATGTATATGTATGTATATATATATAGCGTTATCTGTGCATTATGTGGTCACGATGCGAGCCTCTGCCATTCTCGACGAGGCTGACGGGCGAGCCGCAGATGCAGAGGCGTCGAGCGATCTCGCTAATACAGGGGCCTGAGTACTTCGAACATGTTTTTTGGCGGGGATACCTTATAGTACCTTATATAGTACCTTATAGTCTGGTCCACTTGTGCAGGCGTCCTTATCAGACCGCAAGCGGACCGACCTGTGTATCTAGGGCGGATTAGTGTATACTGACGGGTAGATAGACGGACCGATAGACAGGCAGATAACTAGGTTAGATTAGTCAGTTAGATCCGATAGGTCAGATAGACTAAATAGTTTAAATCAAAGTTAGATCAGATAGACTAGATAGATGGCCTAGATCAGAATAGATAGGTTGGGGAGGTTAGATTGGATAGATAGAAAGATAGATTCACTTTCGCTTTACTCTCAAAGACGCAGAATCCGTGTCGATTAAATCGTGACGCGGGGATAGGTATTTAGAAATAGGTATGAGGTTTTACCACAATTTTGATATAGTGTTTCAGAGCTTTGTTGCACGGCACGGGGGCGATAACTTACACCTTTGAAACGAGGGCGTTATTGGAGGCAGAATTGAATCCCACAGAGTTGTACGGACCGTTGGGAGGCACGAGGTGAAATCCAGACGGTGTTGGGTTTCGGTTTAGGGGTTTAGTGGTTTCGGGTTTTGGGTTGTAGGGTCTGGTGGCACGGGCTTTACCCCAAACGCAGAAGTCAACAGATCTGTGCACATCACTCTCGTCCCAGTTCTGCATGTCTTGCTCTGCTTTCTCGTGTCTGGGCCTCTCTGACAACATGCATGTTTGCCGCAGCTTTCTCAGCACTGCATAGGTTTTGTGTACGTGAACTTTTATTGACTACACGGCATATAGATATTTAGCCACATATTCGTAGATATATGTAGAGTGATATGTAGGTAGATAGGTAGACAGATAGGATACATATATGGATGGATAGATAGATAGGTGAATAGAAACAGATAGATGCTTATACATATATATATATACACACTTGCAGATAGATAGAAAGGTGTACAGATAATTTGGTAGTAGAAGTAAGGAAGGAAGATTGATGATTCAGTAGAGTAGATAGATACCAAGATGGCAGGAACGATATGTATATATATATATATAGTAATGTAGTACTTCGGCAGGTGGATAGGTAGACAGACACATAGATAGATTGGTAGATAGACAGAAGGATACGTGCATGCAACACTTGCGTAGTCAGACATATGCGAACATGTATGCATGCATGCCTGCATGCATGCACGGATGTTCATGTGTGTGGGGGGGGGGGTTGTTTGTTGGTTCGTGTGAGCGTGTGCGTGTGTGCGTGTTGGTTTGTTTTTTGTTTGTTTGTTTGGTTGGTTGTTTGCTCGCTTGCTTGCTTGCTTGCTTGCTTGCTTGCTTACTTGCTTGCTTGCTTGCTTGCTTGCTTGCTTGCTTGCTTGCTTGCTTGCTTGCTTGCCTGTTCGTTTTTGTGTGTGCGGGTGTGTTTGGTCATTCGGTCATTCGTTCGTTCGTTCGTTTGTTTGTTATTGTGTTTGTTTGTCTATCTGTCTGTCTGTCGGCCTGTCTGTCTGCTTGCTTGATTGCTTGCTTGTTTGTTCGTTCGTGTGTTTGTGTGTGTGTGTGTACATGTGTATGTTTACGTATTTATGTATGTAGGGGCACACTCTGTCGTGGAGTTTCACACCACGACCAGGCGAAACTTGAGCTGCTGCAGGCACAACTTTGGGGACAACTGCGGAGGGTCTTCGGCTGCGTTTGCCGGGCCATGCGGGTAAGGATAAACCCTAAACTAACCCTAAACCCCAAAGGTTTAGGACAGGGCTTGACATTTAGGGTTTCGGGCCCTGTTCAGTGGTTCAGAGGAAAGGCTTCGCGGCTGGTCATCGTCCTTTACGGCCAGGTCGCGTGTGAAAGCCGAGGATAGTCGACACCAGAAGGACTAATTATACTACTTGCTAGCGCACCTTATGATACTTCTGTTATTTAGTGACTTAGTGTATCCTCAAAACTCTACTTGGACCATTTGGGACACTTTCGAGAAACCCTATACTAATTATGGAGCCCCTTAGAATATACCCTAAACCCTAAACCCCACATGTTCCAGGGCAGAAACGTTCACTTTGGGCCTCGTCTGTCTGGGTTGAAGATGCTTTGGGGTTTTAGGATTTTTAGGGGTTTTAGGATTTTTAGGGTTAGGGATGAGGGTTCAGGGTTTGAGTTTGGGGTATCAGAGTTCAGGGCTCTAGGGCTTCAGGGCTTCAGGGCTTTTAGGGTTTAGGGTTTAGGGCTTTGGGTTTAGGGTGTTGGCCTCATATCCTAGTAGTACCAGGCCCGTTGCTTCCGTCTTATTGGGGTTCTTCCCCCTAAATAAAGCAGGCACTGCCACATACCGCCTACCCGGAGTAGTGGCTACTGATCATTCCGACTCATCTAGCAGCATCGCCGATATCACGTCCGTCAGTAATTTGGTTTTTTTGTTACCTGTTGCGCGGGATAGTATACACGCCTAGTCTATTTCTCTTAACCCCTACCCAAACCCTAAACCCTTAAACCCTAAGCCCTACCCAAAACCTATCCGGACACAAAAGTGTGTAGAAGAATAGCCCTGCCTAGGTACTGGGCCATTCGGCCATGATTTGACCTCATTTGGGGGGTTTAGGTATAAACCAATCCTAAAAACCCAAAGCCCTGCCCCATAAGCCTACCCAAATCCCATACCCTCCGTCGTCGACCCTAAACCCTAAACCCTAAACCCTAAACCCTAAACCCTAAACCCTAAACCCTACCCAGCAGGCACAGATGGCGGAGCTGCAGGCGAAATTGCAGCAGGCCCGGATCAAGAAATTAGTGGGAGTTGTTTAAGGGTTTAGGGTTTAGGGTTTAGGGTTTAGGGTTTTATGGATGTTCTAGGTGGGTGTGGGTTTGCTTCGGTTTTATGTTTTAGGCTTTCGGGTTGGATTGGAGTTGTGCGCAGCCTGATTCTTGAAAACCTTGCCGATCTCTGCATCAATGCCTGGTTGACCGCCACGCCGTGCAGGTATTGGAGTCCCGCTTGTCGTGAGGTCATCGTCCATTGAAGCCGTGTGCATGTAGCGAGATGTGCCTTTAGTCTCCATTGTAGTTCCTGTTTCGGTTTAACCATTTATACAGGATCCTGTAAGGTAACCCCAAAAGGAACTACACTGGAGACTATAGGTAAGTTGCGGACGCCAACCCCTCAATAGCGACCCCGTCTTCTCGTACGTAGCACACGTGCCCTTTGCATGAGCACTGTAGCAACACCCAAACCCTAACTTATCCCCCATGCCCCAAACCCCGTTTACGATGAATATACCCTGAACCCTAAACCTCTGGTTCCCACCCCTGAGCTCGAATGCCTCCACCAGGGCAACGTGCCCACGGAATGCAGTGAGGCCTCTTTGGCTTAGGGTGTACAGGGGTTTAGGGTCTAGGGCGGTTTTGTGAGAGGTTCTACAAGGTTGCTACAAGGGTCTATCTGGGTTCCCAGAGAACCCAATACCCCTCAATTAAGGAATATACTTTAAATCATAATATTAAGGCCCCTATACTTTAAGGTATATTCCTTAATTACGGGGTATTGTGTTCTCTGGGTTCTGGGGTCGGAGGGCTTTAGGATTTCGGGAGGTTGAAGGTTTACAGTTTGGGGATCTCCGGCGCTTTAGATGTTTACGGCTTCTATGCATTTCAGAATATACGTATAGTCTCCATTGTAGTTCCTTTTTTTGGTTAACCAAAGTTATATTAAAGGATCCCAACCATAAAATTTGTTAGCCAAAAAAAGGAACTACAATGGAGACTATAGGTAAACCTCCCTTTTCTTCAAGGGCCTTAAGAACTACAATGCAGACTATAGGTAGTGTAAACCCTAAACCCTAAACCCTAAACCCTAAACCCCTAAACCGGGGGGCTCGAGGCATGGTCGTAAGGTTTTGTCCCGTCGATGAAAGCCGGAAGTAGACTTTGGTTTGAAACGGTGGGTCATACTGTAGGCCCTACCTTGAGAAACCTGCAGTCTTACGGGCACCCCGCAAACCTGAATGTCTTTGAGTCGTAACTTCCTGCAACTGGAGACCATGCCAGGCAGCCAAAACCTCTATGCAATGATTCTCAACCTCATAACCAGCAGCAAACACGTTGAGCAGACGCGCAGCAGAATCCTGTGTAAGATAGCTATGTACTCGCTACAAACATTTACTGATCATAATCATAACCAGTGTCGAAGGCCTCCACTGGCGCAAATCGAGCCACGAAGCAACTGCAGCAACTCCGTTTGCGTATTATATCATGATATGTGCTTCACGTTCACTGAGAGGCACCAACCGTCTATGAGCCTTGTGCTGCAAGGTATCATACCTACGGGCATGTCATTCAACTCCTTATTCACTCTGCTTGTGTGTCTCTGTGTGTGTGCATGTGTGTGTGTGTGTGATTTTGTAGCGAATGCTTTGGATGACACATATGTTATGATATGACAAGTATCTGATCTCGCTTTGATAGCCCAGCAAGCTCTCTGAAGTGATCAGACAGAGCAGGAGTCTGTGCGGGAAGCCCTGGCCTTTGCTGCTGGCGCGAACTGCGAAGGCATGCGATGGATGTGACGGTCTTCGGTCGGGGCAGACGGTTTGAGGTTCAGGGCTTTGATGTTGCCGGGCTTTTCGCAGGCATATGCGCCATGGTCGAGCAGTGTTTTCGGTCCTGTGGCGGGAAGGCGAACCGTTAATGATTGGGCCAGGACGGCAGCTGAGGCGATTCCAGCCTGTCTGTACTTGTTTGCGAAGTTGTAAGATTGCGGTTTTATTTGGATAACAGCGGCAGGTATGTACATGGTGAGGGAACCTCATGCATTGGCTCATGTATCCTCTCGGTGAGTCAAAGGGCTTCAGGAATCAAAGCTCTTTTCTTCAAGAAACGCTGCGTCCCTGAACACGATGTTCCACCTCCTGAACCCGCCGCGAACCTGCACGCTGCACTTCTTAATTGTTGTGCATACCCATAGGCCCCATAGTAGTTCCTTGTTGGGATTACCTTATAGGATTCTGAATATGAACCCCAAAAAGGAACTACTATGGGGCCTATGGGTAGCCCCAAGTCCAGGTATTTGTAGCCCTACTAGCAGCTACTAGGAGCTCCGGAGCTCTCAACTACGGTGAACCCTGAACCCTGACTGCAACAGACCAGATATTGAACCCTGAACAGCAGATATACTGAGCCCTAAACCCAAACCGCAACAACACCTGTACTGAACCCTAAACCTAACTAAACCCCAAACCCCAAACCCTAAACACTAAACCACAAGCTCTAGACCCCAAACCCTAAACCTCAAACCCCAAACCGTAGACCCCTCTACATCAGGAAAGCATATCGACTCACTGATCGGCCAATTGGGGAAGCACATCTCCAACTTGGCCATTTGCTCCCAGGCTCCCAGTTGTGTTCTTGTCTTTTAGGGTTTACCTGGACCCTAGAGAACCTACCTTTGTAGTGCTCCTTTATTATGAGCTCTTTATATATATATATATAGATAGAGAGAGACTAAACCCTAAACCCTAAACCCTAAACCCTAAACCCTAAACCCTATATATATATATATATATGTCCTTAAAAAGGTAAGTTCTTTGGGGTTAAGTAGGGCCTGTCGTCCAGGGGACTTTCGGGAGTTTAGGGTTTAGGGGTTAGGGGGAGGGTTTAGGGGGTTTTAGGGTTTAGGGTTTAGGGGTTTAGGGTTTAGGGTTTAGGGTTTAGGGTTTAGGGTTTAGGGTTTAGGGTTTAGGGGTTTAGGGTGTATAAGGGCTCTTGAAACCTATGCCCCGGCAGAGACGTTACCCTCAAGAGTTGTATTTTCAGTTGTTTTGTTGGGCTCCTATCCCCCTTGCGAGAAAAATAGCAGCAAAAAGCTATCATGCCAAAATGCCTCCGTAAGCTAACCCTATTAGCCCAGTTCCCTATGTAGTAGGTTGCTGGCCCCCTTCTGTATCCCAATGACTTACTATAGTAGAGGCGTCCCTGGGCTCCCACGGAGGTTACTCACTACCCCAAACCCTAAACCCCAAACCCTATAAACCTTAAGCCCAAATTATGCCTAAAACCCAAACCCTAAACCCCAAACCTTAAACCCCAAACCCTAAAACCCAAAACCCTACACCCTAAACTCTACACCCTAGCCCTAAGGGACCCTAGGGCTCTCAACCGCAGCGACATGAGCCCGCAAACCCGTAGTTCCCTACGATGGCGTTTCGTCTCGAACGAAACCTTGCGGGTCCATGTACCCGAACAGTATATACTTTGGCTTTAAGGTAGTCGGTACTTATGCACTATTCGGGCACAGGGACCCTTGGGGAACGAGAGGTCTAGAAGTTCTCTTGATTCAACAGTTGTTCTAGTTGGGAGCAGGGGGAGCGAACTTGGCGGAGCTCGCTGGTACAGGGTTTAGGGTTTGGGGTTTAGGTTTTAGGGTTATGGTTTAGAGTTTAGGGTTTAGGGTTGTTGCAAATCACAAGCTTTGTTGAATGGGGTAGTCCTTGTGCTTGTGGTGTGGCCAGTGTAGTGCTGTAGGTTTGCTGCTGCGTAAGATTCGAGACGTTAGCCGTGTATGGGGAGGTTTGATTACTGAAGGCGCAAGTGGTTAAGCGGGTAAGTTTAAGGGTCACTCTTGCGTTCAGGGTTCAGGGTTGTAAGGGTCTACATGGCACTTTCGTACAACCCTGCACACTCGCCAGACAATGAGCCTGTTATCGAAGCCTGAAAAGAAAATTGAAAGTATGGTATACCCTGGTATTCCAATCAAACCCTAAATCTTCAACCTCTCTATCATATGTATATTTAAACTTTGATATCATTCGTGGTTTTTGGCCAAATTCGGGTTCCAGCATCGGCGCGGCCGCCAGACCTCATCAAATCCGTGGTTTTTGGCCAGTTGTCTGGCCAGATCTCAGCAAATTCGTGGTTTTGGCCAAATTCGGGTTCCAGCATCGGCGCGGCAGCCAAAACCTCAGCAAATTCGTGGTTCTAGGCCAGTTGGCCGGCGGCTAGACCTCAGCAAATTCGTGGTTTTAG